AGCCTCACTTGCACACAGCGCACAAGTCTCCACCTTCCTCTGTCTCCCAGCCTCCACGCTGCCGTTGCTCTGTCCCTGGCATCTAATGCTCTCTCCTTTGTAAACACTGTGGCCTTTCTGTTTCCAAAAGATGGAGGAGTTACGTCTTTGTCCCTTATCCCTTACCCTGGAGGGTCGAGGTTTTTGTCTTTTTCTTAAAACTCCCTGGCATTTAATTTTGCCCTTCTTTGAATTTTCAAATTCAGAATGTATTAAGTTGCTAAAAATCATTTCTGTTCTTTGGCCTTCCTTTGTAATACTTCATTGGCTTAAACACCCAACAGGAACGGACTTATTACCTACTCCCACCCTGGTGGGCGGTGTCTCTCATGGCCTGTTTTCTGATTACCTAGGTCACAGAATAATGAGCTCAGCACACGGCTCTTCCTTCATTGTCAGTGTTGCACGTATGGACTGACTCCCTCTTAGGAAGACTGATAAGAATCCGACTCCCTGAAACGACCACATCTCCCCACTTCTTTAGTACAGTTACGTCACTAGGCTAGTGCCTCCACCTCTGAACTTGAGGTAACACCCCTGAGCCCCCACCCCGGCCCCCTCCTGCCCCCAGCGTTGGACAGATGAGTGTCCACTTTTGTGTTGTCCACTCCAGTGACGAGGATGTGAAGTGAGCAAGGCGCTCGCCTAAAGCACAATATCTAAAAGGGCTCAAAAACCTGTCATCAAGATAAATTGTATTCTAACAACTTTCTAAAAAATCAGAAGTAATGCAAAAAGTCCAAGATGAACAAGGCAGCAACATTTTAAACAAGGAGAGGGTCAGTGCTTGACTTTTCACTTTGCCTCGTGTCCCCTATGGCCCTGGACTCGGGCACATTTGCATCCTGCTGTGTAACTTCAGATTCAGGAGGATCTTCCAAGTTGGTGGTAGAGACGCCACATCCAGGAGAGAAGCAGTGGCTGTGACCACTATCTGGTGTGCCACCCAAAGGGGCTATTCAAATCCAACACCATCCTCAGGCCTGTGCAAACATTGTGAAGAACTCCATGACAGTGAACATAGTGTATTGATGTCAAGCACAGTCCAAGGCCAGACTGGACTCCTTTTACGTCCTTATAGGTGCTTAACATTGTGCCGGGCTCAGGTTGACTCGTGTGTGGTCTGTGGGTGTAAGGCTGTGAGGCCAAGTGGACTTCAAGGTCGGACAGCTCGGGTCCCCATCTCACCCCTACCACTTGGGAGTGGTGTGAGCCTGTCAGTCCTCAGTCTCAGTTTCTTTGTAAAATAGACATCCTTGTCATACCTACCGTTGGGAGAACTAAAGTGTAAACAACTCACAACTGTGCCCTGCAGATCTAGGCAATTCAACTCATGACAACCCCACGTGTGTCAGAGTAGAACTGTGCTCCATGTGGTTTGCAATGGCTGATTTTTTGGAAGTAAATTACCAGGCCTTTCTTCTGAGACACCTCTGGGTGGATTTGAACCTCCAACCTTTTGGTTATTGGCCGAGTGTGTTAACAACTTGCACCACCCAAGTCATGCTTAGAACTAGCTTTTTCATCTGGTTTTATTTTCCTCCTGGAATTTCTGATTGGCTTTTTTTTTCTTCCCTTTAGTTCCTTGATCTCAAAACCTTTCAAGCTCTGAATTGTACTGATGGCCCTTTGCCCCTCCACGTTGTGCTCTCTCTGGGTGTACTGAACATTCTCCCCTGACAGTTCTCTGCCTGGAATCAGTGGCTCCCACTTAATATGTGCACTTCAGATCTTCCTCCTAAAAGGTGTATGCTCCTATTTTGTTAGAGCGTGTCTTCAGTCCTGTTCTAACAGTGGTGTGTGAGAAGTGAACACTGAGTCCTTGAGTGTCTGAGCATATCTGTATTCTGATGGATAGATGGAATAAATGCAACTATTTCCTTTAGAACTCGAGGCTCTGTTAACACTATGCTGTTGAAGTTCAGTGATGCCTGATGCTCAATTCTCTAGGGGCCTACTTGTTCTCTCCACAATCTTCCTGAGTTTGGAGGACTCAAGGATAAAATCTTTATCCATGGGGCTCTGTTAAGTTCTCAATGGCCTGCCTTAGTTTGAGACTTATTCTTTCATTCAAACAGCTCTGCATTCTGGAGGGTCACGATTGGATCATCCATTCTCCCTTTGGTCCAGGGCATTTTCTATTCAGTCTTCTCTTTCTTTCCTCATTTCCTAATAGGAGCCCTGGTTGTGCAGTGGTTAAGAACTCAGCTGCTAACCAAAAGGTCAGTGGTTCAAACCCACCTGTCCTGTATGAGAAAGGTGTGGCAGTCTGCTTTCATAAAAAAATTTACATCCTTGGAAACCACATGGGTAATTCTACTCTGTCCTGTAGAGTCACTATGAGTGAGAATCATCTTGACAGAAATAGGTTTAGTTTCAGTTTTTGTTTTGTTTTGGTTCTCCCTTCCTGGTGCTGCAGTTGATCAGATGTTGGACCTCCCAGACTAATCCTTGTCTCTGTTTTTTTCTCATGTTTTAGGTTTTCTTCTGCTTTTATTCCATGTGCTAGGAGTTTTCCTGAATTTTGTCTTCCAGCACTTGTATGTTTCCTTGCAGGAATTACATGTTTAATTTGCAAGCTCAGCTTCTTGCATTGTGGCTTTTATTCTTTTTTTCTTTGCATCCTGTTCTTTGTCTGATATCACTTAGAGGTTTTGTTTTGTTTCCTTCTCTTTAGTGAATGTCAGTCTGTGTCCTTGGAGTCATTCTTTCCCGAGTATCTGTCTTGTTTTGCAAACTTTTCCTCACCTAGCTGAGGTATTTCATATTTGAGGATGAAGTGACAGGAAGGCTGGCTTAGATGTAGTGTGAGGTGGAGCCAACCCTTATGATGGACCCTTGGTGCCAGAATGTGCCACTAGCACAAAAGTGGCTACCGTCTTTCTCTTTTTTTAAATTTTTTATATTGTACTTTAGATGAAGGTGTATGGAACAAATAGTTTCTCATTAAACAGTACACGTATTGTTTTATGATGTTGGTTAACAACCCCATGACATGTCAACACTCTCCCTTCTCGACCTTGGAGGACCTTTTTTTGGTGAAAATATACATAGCCAAAGTTACACCATTTCAAAAGTTTCTACACGTACAATTCAATGACATCGATTACATTCTTCCAGTTGTGCTGCTATTCCCACTGTCCTTGTCCAAATTATTCCATTACCGTTATCTTCAACTCTCTGTCCCCTAGGCTTCCCATCACACCTTCTGAGTTGTTGTTGTCAATTTGATCTCACAGATAATTTTTTTTACGTTAGACGAAGGTTTACAGAACAAAGTTTCTCATTAAACAGTACACATATTGCCCTATGACAATGGTTAACCACATGACATGTCAACAATGTCCCTTCTCAACCTTGGGCTCCCTATCTCCAGCTTTCTTGTCCCCTCCTGCCTTCTAGTCGTTGTACCTGGTCTCCTGTGCCTCATTAGTCCCATTTCGTTTTATGGTGCCCTTCAATCCCTGGCTGAATGGTGAACCTTGGGAGTGACTTCACCACTGAGCTAAAAGGGTGCCCGTGGGCCATATTCTCAGGGTTTCTCCAGTCTGTCAGGCCAGTAAATCTAGTGTTTTTTTGTGAGTTAGAATTTTGTTCTACATCCTTCTCCAGCTCTCTCCAGGACCCTCTGTTGTGATCCCAGTCAGAGCAGTCAGTAATGGTAGTCGGGTACCATCTAGCTGTACTGGACTCAGTCTGGTGGAGGCCATGGTAACTGTGGTCCATCAGTCCTTTGGACTAATCTTTTCCTTGTATCCTGTTCTCTTCATTCTACCTTGCTCTTGAAGGCGTGAGACCAGTGGAGTATCTTATAGATGGCTGCTCACAGGCTTTTAAGATCCCAGATGCTACTCACCAAGGTAGAATGTAGAACTTTGTCTTTATAAACTGTGTTATGCCAGTTAAGCTAGATGTTTGCCTAGACCATGGTCCCCACAGCCCTCTGCCCAGCACTTCAGTCCCTCAGGGAGTTTGGATGTGTCTATGGAGCTTCCATGACCTTTCCTTGTAGAAGTTGTGCTGGTTTCCCCAGTATTGTGCACTCTCACCCTTCACCAAAGTTACCATTTACCTATTGTCTGTTTAGTTTCCTACCCCCACCCCTCCCATCCCTCATAACCAAGAAAGATTGTTTCTTAAGTGTGTAAACTTTTACATGAGTTTTTATAGTAGAGGTCTCTTATAACATTTGTCCTTTTGTGATTATTTCACTCAGCATAATGTCCTCTAGTGTCATCCATGTTATTTATGAGATGCTTCTCAGATTCATCATTGTTCTTTAACATTGCGTAATACTCCATTGTGTCTATGTACGATTGTTTATGCATTCATCTGTTGATGGGCGTCTAGGTTTCCATTTTTTTGCTATTGTGAAAAACACTAAAAATACTTGGGGTGGGTGGGAAAGCCCTTCAAAAAATTCCCCTCCCCCTTGTAAAGGCAGGCCAACCTGCCAAGGAAGAAGGCAGAAGCACCAGCAGGGTGTGCTCCAGACAAGGAAGGCCACTTACCCGGAGCTTTCTGTGGTGCCCTGTCCTGGAGTGTTGTCCGCAGGAGGGTGGAGAGACAATAGGTATGGCCTGCCCAGAGGGTGAGTTGGAGCCCTGTGAGGAGACCCCTCCTTCCAGAGTGTAGTGCCCGCAGGGGGCTTGCCTAAAGTGGTCCTGGGTTGGCCTGTCCCTGCCCATGCTTTCTGGAAGATTATCCCAGTCCTCAGGAGTCACAGCGCACAGCTACACAAATGAACAGAAAAGAGGTCTTGGAGGCCTGAAAAGCCTGGAGTGCTGAGTCCTCAGATGCTGGGGTGTGAACACGGGTCTGTGGGCGGGTGCTGGCCCTCTGGACCCAGCATCCTTTGCCCTGAGGGCAGTGATATGGAGTCAGTGCCCCACAAGTGTGTGGCAGAGACTATGAGTTAGGGGTAAATCCCTCATCTCCCCGTCATTACGCCTGTTCCCCAGCTCATCACCCATCTCCCTCTTACTTCTCTGCCCTTCCTGGGGTAGGGGGCTGTCCCTTGGTTTTGCCCCTGCCATCAGGGCACCCCCAACTCCCTGCACCTGCCTTGATGTCACCCAAGCAGTGCTCCAAGCCTCTGAGGTAGCCTAGCAGCCCCCAGGGGGCGCCATTGCCCCTTGCATGAGACTTGTCCCCTTTCATTTTAATATGGCTTCACCTCTGGGGTGCACACTGTTTAATGTCCTAGAAATGATATTAGGGATTATGCTACGAAGCGTATAACTGTCTAGCTGAGGTCTATGAGTTTGATCATTTGAGGTGGGGGCTCCTGGTGTGGTTGGGAAGGCCTAGTGGAAAGGGTGATCCAAGGCCCCTTCTCCCCCTCCTGTCCTGGGGGTATCTGTGTATCCGGCCTCAAACCTCTTCATGGTCCTCCTGACCAGCCTCCTCCTGGGGCTCCACTGAGTCAGGGATGACTTTGTGAGTCCTGTTTCTGGGACCCAAGGGCTTCATCTGCTGCTGAGGGGAGGAAGAAGAGAAGGTGATAAGGCAGAAAACTGACGGATGGCATGTGAGGTGGGAAACCGCCATACAGCGGCTGGGTAGTGCTAAGCCGCCATTTCCACTATGTTAAGGCCCCAGTGGGACGGCGCTGACCTGATGAGGGTGGCATCACTACAGGAGCTGCCCACCAATCCCGATGGGCACGCCCCTGAACACGCCCTGAAATAGAACCCACCCCTACACTGTTTCCTCTCCATATATAAACCCATATGCCAGCCAATCAGAGAGCCATCTTAGCAACGCAAGTCCCAGTGAACTCCTTTGCTTGGCCAACCAAATAGTTTTTCTGCTTTCTCTTTTGCCCAACTGGTGCCTCTGTGTCGTGGAGGGCAAGACCTGGAGGTCCAGTAACATATTTTGGCAAGCCAGCCAGAAGCTCCGCTCAGTGTTTTGGGCGTGCCAGTCCCGGCCTGATGAGGATCTCTTGTGTTTGGGCCCCTCTTTGTACTATGGGTGGTTGCGCTCCAAACCAAACAGAGACTCCAGAAAGTGAGGGAAGAAATATGCAGTAATCAAGCAAGCACTGTTTCTGGTGGATTTGAATCCTGGCAGGTCCATAAGGTGGCCCGTGGTAGATAGGGCCTAGACCCCTGCCATCTGGTGAGTGTCCCTCTGGGTTGAGGGGACAACCTTCTGTCTGAGTGCATCTGGAACCAGTGTTCTTTGTCCCTCTTCGTGTGAAGGTGTAGGAGTAAGAACATGGGTAATACTAAAGGCGTTCTGGAGTGTTCACCCTCAGGGCTTTAAAAATAGCCCCACTCTGTTTGGAACCTCCGTGGCCCAAGAGCTCCAAAGGCTGACAATGACTAATGGCACCCTGTTGCAGTATGTGGATGATTTATTGTCAGCGCTGACGAGTTCAGCTGTGCAGGGAACATTGTGACTGTTAAATATTTTGGGCAGAGGCCAGGTATAGGGTGTTGAAACAAAAGGCCCAAATTGTCCAGCAGAAGGTGGCTTATTTGGGGTTTATCATCAGTGAGGGAAAGCGAGAGCTCCATCCAGACAGGAAAGAAGCTATATGTAGACCAGTGCCTCTAGAGAACCGGAAACAGCTCCGCAGGTTCCTGTGGATGGCAGGCTTCTGCAGGTTGAGTCCCTAATTTCAGGCTATTTATCAAGCCCCTCTATGCCATCCTGGAAGGAGAGGAGACCAACCAGTTTCTTTGTACCAAACAAGAACAAACAGCATTGGAGTGAGGTAAAAAGGCCCTACTAGAGGGAGGCTCTAGCGTTAGGACTTCTGGACTTGCATAAACCTTTTGATCTTTTTGTGCACGAGATTCAAGGAATAGCTGCAGGGTCCTCACTGAAAATTTGGGTTCCTGGAGGCAACTAGTAGCTAGCTTCTCCAGGACTGTGGACCCGGTCACCCGTGGGTGGCTAGTGTGACTTAAAGCAGTAGCAGCCACTTACAGATCCTGAAGGTAGCCAAAAAGCTAACCTTGGGCCAAACTATTTGAGTTTATGCCCCTCATTCAGTACTCACTGTACTGGAACAGAGGGGGAGTCATTGGCTATCCCAGAGCCAAATAACTCAATACAAGGCCTCTCTGGTTGATAATCCCAACGTTTTGGTCGAATCTGGTGTCGCTCTAAATCAGGCCACCCTTCTCCCCACTCTCTCCCTGGGAGACCCCATCCACGATGACTGTCCAGATGGTGGACCTAGTCTATGCCAGCTGCCCAGACCTACAGGATCAACCTCTAGCAGATGCTTACTTACAGATCTTCACAGTCGGGAGTAGCTTCATAGGGGTGGCCAGTCTAGGGTGGGCTATACAGTTGTCAGCTGCACCGAGGTCCTCGAAGCGAACGCTCTACGGAACCTCGGCCCAAAAAGCAGAGCTGGTTGTGATGATCCAGGCTTTGTGGCTGGCCAAGTCCAATTGAGTGACCCTTTACATGGACTTGAAGTATGTCTTTTCAGTTTTATATATGCATGGGGCTTTGTGGAAGCAGAGGGGGCTTTTGAATTCGGCCGGTAAAGAAATCAAACATGGCCAACAGATTTTACAACTTCTTGAGGCAGTGTTGTTTCCTACCGCTCTGGATGTGGTACACTGCAAGGGACATCAGCAGGGAGATACTGCAGTGGTCCAGGACAACCAAAGGGCCAACTTAGAGGCCAAATGGGTGGCAAGAACAATGACCCCAGTGGTAGTTGCTGCCCTCTTTCCACACCCTAGCTTGCCACAAGCCACGGAAGACCCTGGTTACAGTGAAAAGGACCTTTATGTGGCCAATCAGTGGCAGCTCCAGAAAAAAGATAAGTGATTCTTCACAAGGGATGGGATGCTATTCATCTCACAACACAGGATCCCTGGCATCTTAAAGCACCTACACGAGGCCACCCACTACAGGCAGGAAGCAATGTATGACTGGGTAAAGAGACACTTTGTCAGCTAGAATTTGCAGGTTATTAGAGACGTTACTAGACAATATGTCACCTGTCAGAAAAAAACAACCCAAGACCTTCTCGGCAGCACCAGAGGGGACCCAGTACCAAGGATATGTTCCAGGAGAAGATTGGCAGATAGACTTCACTGAGATGCCCCGGGCTCCAGATAATTACAGATATCTGCTGGTGTTTGTAGACACCTTTTCCAGTTGGGTCAAAGAATTCCCCTGCAGGACTGAAAAGTCCATAGAAGTTTCCAAAAGACTACTGGAAGACATCATTTCCAGGTTTGGGCTTCACCAAACCATCAGGAGTGACAACAGAACACACTTTGTTGCTTAGGTCACACAACTTGCAGCCTGACAGCTGGGGATTAAGTGGTGTTGTCACGGTACCTAGAGGCCCCAACCCAGTGGAAAAGTAGAAAGAATGAACAAGACTATTAAAACTCCTCTGGCGAAACTTTGCCAGGAGACCTAATTTACTTGGGTTAAGGCCCTTCCCTTGGCTCTGTTCAGGATTAGAGGTGCATCTCGAACCAAATTTAAGGTAAGCCCCTTTGAGATTAGGTACGGTCATCCCCTCCTCTGTAACTTTTGGGAGGGCTCAAATACTTTGTATCCTGAAAACACCCTGGAGGCTGAGACCATGCATGAGCAAGGCCAGCTTGCTATTAAACAATATTTGTGTTCTGTGGTGGGAATGCTTCACTCTCGTCACAGGTACGTGACATGGCAGACTCTTCACAACCCGAAGTCCCTCTCTACGTTTCAAAGCCTGATAGCTGGATATATGTCAAGACCTGGAACACTGCAGACCTGGCAGAAAATGGAAGGGACTTTTGAGGCGTTGATGTCTACCCCCACAGCAGTCAAGATGACTAGAAAGGGAGCATGGATCCACCAGTTTCGCATCAGACTGGCCTCTACTCTCGATATTGACCAACAAACCCTGCAAAATAGTAAAAATCAGCAGGACAGTTGTCTTAGTTATCTAATGCTGCTATAACAGAAATACCACAAGTGGAAGGCTTTAACACCAAGAGAAATTTATTCTGTCAGTCTGGTAGGCTACAAGTCCAAGTTCAGGGCATCAGCTCCAGGGAAAGGCTCTCTCTGTTGACTCTGGAAGAAGGTCTGTGTCATGAATCTTCCTTTGGTCTAAGAGCTGCTCTGCGCAGGAACCTCAGGTCCAAAGGACACGCTCTATTCCCAGCACTGCTTTCTTGGTAGTATGAGGTCCCTGTGTGTTTTTGCTCACTTCTCTCTTATAGCTCAAAAGAGATTGGCTTAAGACACCCATCTTGTAGACCTTATCGATATAACTGCTGCTAATCCATCTTATTACATCAAAGTGATACAGTTTACAACACATAAGGAAATCACATCAGATTACAAATGGTAAACAATCATACAATACTGAGAGTCATGACCCAGTTGACAGATTTTTGGGGGGATATAAGTTAATCCATGACAACTGTGATAATTGGGAGACTCAGGCTTTAGAGGGTTTAAAGTGGTTGTTTAAGAGGAAACAGACAACGAAGACAATTGTGCCAGTTGATTGTCATCCCCTGGTGGCTCTGTGGGTTGTTTTAGCCTTATTGGTAGTTACTTTCTAGCTTTGTATGACCTGGTACTTGTTTCCTGCTGGGCTCCATGACTGACTGTCAACTAGCTCTGTCCATAATTCTGTTCACGCTTTCCACCCACATGTCTCTCTAGGGGAGAGACAAGGCCCCCAGAATGGCAATATAACTATCTCATAAGTATCCCAAATGGTCTCCACTTAGATTTTCTGGGTCTACTTCACCCCTACCCCCTCATCAGAACTAAAGAGAATTAGAAGCAGTCCCAGTCATCAGTTACAAATACCGCCACCTACTAAAAACACCACCAGATTACCCACACAATGGGCCTCCCTCTGGACCCATCTTTCATTCACTTCCATATATGGGATTTACATCACCTGGGTTGAGAACCAAACTTACTCTATCTGTTCACAACCCATTGACCAAGAGTTTAATTCCTCTAATTACAATAAGGATTTTGTCCAACAGACTGTCCGGAGTCTCACTGACTC